ACAAGTGATAGCTGCTGTAACTAAAAAGTAGCCCAGTACACACATTAACCTCAAATGTACATGGAATAATAAATTCACTCCTACCGTTTTATTACATTATGTTTTCTGTTTGTACTGTTTAGGTTTTAATGCTGCATTGCACATCTGAGCTATTTGCACTATTTTAATACTGCTGTAAACTTTTTATAATTGATAATAATAAGAAATAATATAGATAAATAATGAACACGTCAAAACGAAAACACAGATACTTACAAGACCAAGTAGGAATGTCCTTTATCGTTTGTTGTTTGTCCGCTGCTCTCCGACAGGTAAACTTAGTGCTCTCGTGTAAAAAAAATTCAAAACACAACACTGATCACTATTAACTCTATTTGTCTCGCGTTGCCAGTAGTCATGTCTCAGTAGGGCTACTATTGTCATCTAGCGGTTGGGAGTTGTAATTGCATTTTTATTTATAAAATGAAAGACAGCCGAATAATTCTAGAGTAGAAGCCATCCATCGCACAAATGGATGGAGAATGAAGACCTCCCTTCAAATACACAGAAAGGTCACCTTTGTTCATGTTTACCACATTTCGAGAAAAGCATTTCCCAACAGATTGGAGAGAATCAGAGCTGGCTGGATCTCCTTAAAGGGGTGCTGTCTCTGTTTCAGCCATTCTCTGAAATTCTCAGAGACACAATCCACAGATCTGTTTGGTTTGGCTCTCCTGCGGAGATCTGACCTTTGGCGAAATCAGAGGGAGAGAGAGAGAGAGAGAAGCAATCTGCTCGTCTGATCAAAGCTCTGGTGGACATTTCTCACATAAAACAGAGAGCGAGGGGATTGCCAGTGTAATTGCAGAAGTATCTGCAATAGATCCAACAAATCACAGGGAGAGGAGTGCAAATATACATTACCAATCGAAAGTTTAGACACACTTGACTCAGTTTACACTACTGTTCAAAAGTTTGGGGTCGGTAAGGTTGTTAAATGTTTTTAAAGTCTCTTATGCTCAACAAGTCTGCATTTGATTGAAACATTATTACAATTTAAAACAACAATTTTCTTTTGTAATATAGTTTAAAATGTAAAATGTATTCCTGTGATGGCAATGCTGAATTTTCATTACTCCATTACTCCAGTCTTCATAGTCACATGATCCTTCAGAAATCTTAAAAAAAGAAAAATCTTACTGACCCCAAACAGTGTTTTTGATGAAAAATTATTATGCTGAATTGCTTGAATGTATTTTTATAAACAAATAAATTGTGCCTAAATTTGAATGTCTTTGCAAAACTGAAATTTTAATTAAAAAATAAAAATAAAAAAGACATAAAAAAATACATACATACAGTCAAACCAAAAATTATTCAAAATTATTTTACTAGTTGGTGCAGGACACTTTAGTTCATTTATGTAAATGAGGATAGTAATCTAAAGCAAACTGTGACATACCCAAAAATTCTTCATACAGTGGACTACCAGTAAAACTGATAAAAATTTGCGACCAAAAATTATTCAGACACTTTGACCTGACCATGTTTTGCTTAATTGTTATCTGCCATTATCAAGACGAATTTGTTCTGACACAGTTTAACTCTGAGTTCTTTTCATATTTTATTAACATTTTCTAAACTATAGCGAAAAACTGCGATAATGTGTGAAATGTTGAAGGTGTCTTAATAAATTTTGGTTTGACAGTATATATGTATAATACAAAAAATTTATAATATATATATATATTTTTTTGCTCTTGATGCGTTTTTACTAAATAATTCAGGCTATTTTTGCCCTAATCAGAATCTATGTTTGAGCTTTTACTCCTGATGCAAAGTGTTGTTAAAATAGTTTCAGAACTTCTTTGTAACATCTAATATTAGAAGCCCAGCAGCACACAAAATAACACTGGCCAGCATTTTATGCTGTATTCAGTTTATTGCAAGCAGTCAATGCTTCAGAGAAAAACATATAAGAGATCAAAGAACACTCTCAACAGATAATGGCTACAATTACTCAGGCTCACTTTAAAGACGGAGACTGTTGTATGATGAGTGTGAATTCAGGAAAGGGAATGGGTATATTATTGGCAGCATGTTGATTGTGGCGGAGGTGTTTAGCATGCCGTTCTGGATTTCCAGAAGTAGTTCTTGCAGCCTGGTTTTCGCTCTTTGTCTCCACTGTCTCTCCTCATTAGGTCCAGTTCATTCTGTAGAATCCCCAGAGATGGGCTGTCAGACTGGATGGCTGCTGGGTCTGAGTTACTGAGCAACCACTGAAGCTCTGGAAGGGAGTATCTCTCTGGCATCTGTTAATTCAGTTTAATCAGTTTTTCAGATTAGAAAGAAAAATGAAGACTTTATATATGCTATAATATATGCTCCAAAGGTCGTGTATTACTGCTCTTCAAGTGCAAGGAGGTTTAGAGTGTTACTTTAAAATCTTACCTCTTCATCAGCAGCACTGCCATGAGATGCTTGTAGCGCAGAGTTCAAAACCATATGAGATCGACCGCATGATATGATGCTTGCTGCCATGGCCAAACAGAACAGGGAGACAGTGAGGTGAAGTTGGGATGAGGCCATCACTGATGTCTTGAAGGATGTGGCTTGTTCAACCTTGGTTCAAGCCTCTTATCTGCACTGTGCTCCCTAAGTGTGTCTTCTTGCTTATCCAGACAGTTTTATACTGGTACCTTCTCTTACACAGAGTAAAAATTAGTTACGCGCTGAGAGGTTTTACAAATTAAAAATTAACAAATTCAACAGGTTACAGCTGGTACCTGCTGGTCAGACGTAATTTCAAATACAGTTACATCTTATTTTCCATCTTCAGCAAAGTAATTGGTGTTTTCCTGCTCTCTACACAACACAGAGTGCATCCACATGAAGCAGGACCCCCAATAAACCACTAATTAGCCCCCATTAAATTGTTCTGTTGCTAGAGTAACTTTGCTACCAATGTTTCTGGGTCATAAATTCTTGATGGTCATCACTGGCAAAGGGATGTTACCAGGAAAGACTTCAACTTTTCCTTGAACAGTATATTCAATATATATATATGAATGTGAAAACCTCAGATGCAATCTGAAGTCCATCTGACCTTTTTCTTTTAAATGTTTAGATTTAGTCATTTTCACTTTAATGATAATTAAAAATTATTAGTCAGTTATTGAAATGCCTTTAAAAATTTTTACTTTAGTCAATTAAGAACGAAAACATCAAAGTACAGAACAAAGCAAATATTTGAGGAAGTCCAGTAAGTAAGGCTGTCAAGGCTAATTTCTTCACATCGGATGAAGTGATTATTTTCTCTTTAATACAGATGATGCCAATGTATTTTTCGATAAATCCGCTGTTAGCAATAATAACGTTACCTGCTTGAGGGAAATGGTTGCCAGGTTTTCATTAAAAAAAAAACCGCCCAATTGCTACTCCAAACTAACCGCGTTTCGAGGGGTCCCCCGGTAAAAACCGCGTTGTGCGGGCTAAAATACACGTTATTGGGGTCGCTTCAAGCCGCTGACATGAAAAACAACCCGCAGCAACAGTGATAAAGTAGCCCAATTCCACGGGGAAACCGCGGACTTGGCAACACTGTGACGGATACAACGGACACGAGCACTGTCACGGCGCGATCACAACGGCAATTATCGGTTTGTAAATATTCAGGATGTTATTTAAGGTTTTATAGACCAATTATAGGTTTGTAAACATTCAGGATGCGCGCGCATCATGGTTGCAGAAAACCCAGGAGAGATAGCCTTTTTGGCTAGAGAATTTCACGGATACGGTACAAAATAGTTAGGTTTAAAAAGATTATAAATTATATTGATTAGATGTCATTTTCAAAATGTTCTACGCATATTACAAGAGCTTGTCACCCAGCGCTAAGCACTGTTATTAAACGAAATTGACGTTAGAGAGTGGGATAGTCTTACAGATCCGAAACGGATGACAGTTTTTGTGGGCGGAGCCTATCTGGAGGCAGAAAATGACAGTTTTCAAGTGGCAGTCTGGAGCCATGGAATAAAAGAATAAAAAAAGTTACATTTGATTTTATATTTCAAAATTATGACTTTATTCTCGCAATTCCGAGATTATATCTCACAATTGCGAGAATATTCGGCTGGTGGATCAACATTCACCACATGATCGCTATCACCAGCACCATTATTTGTAACTTTAGGTGGTTCACAAAAGAAATCTGTCAGTGTTTCTTTTTTATTTTCTCTCTTCTTCAGCCTTTTTCATCCCCCGCGGTAGTTAGCTCCCTGTCACCTGACAGCGGAAAGCAGTGACTGAGTGATTGACAGCTAATATTAACCAATCTAAAATCTGCATTAAAGTTAAAAATGTAAAGATGAAGTTTAATTTTGTTATGTAGCCTAACGTTTCATAGAACGGCAGACAGGTCACCGTATCAACACTCAGAAGGCACATACATACTCTGAACGTTTTTAGAGAAATGAAAACGCGTCGCTCGACAACAATTATATGCACTCGCACAAATGCTCCCAAATATATTTTGAGGTCGCACAGATTAAATTTCGGGAGCATATGCGACCAAAATGGTCGCAATTTCGAGCCTTGTAAATTGCTTTTTAGTTTTTCAGGTAGGTCTAACACACAGTAGGGCTATTAAGAGATTTTTTTTTTTTTACCAATTATCCAAATAATGTTTAATCCTAGTGTAGCAGAGTGAGGTATAGACCCAGTATGATTGGCTGGCTGTTACCCAAACAGGTGAACCTATCAGTGTTTGTACTTTATCATGATTGGTCAGTTGGGTAAGTTTCATGAGCCAATTAGTGCCTGTGTTGTGCATATAAAAGAGGGAAGTGTTTGGTTGCTTGGGATGCATCATCCTTAGTACTGCCCCTTTGTGACGTGGCGCTTTGAGTGCTAGCAGTTGGGTTATCCTCCTGTCTGTCCTGTCCTGTGCTGACTGTTGGCCAGTTTTCAGATATGGGCCTGCAAGTAGCTGTAATTCTGCGTAGTGAGTGACCATGTGTATTGCAGCATTATACTGGTTTCTTGCAGGATTGATTGCACGTCCAGGGGTTTCCAATGATCTTAACTGATAACGAACCTCAAGTAACTGACTGCACTTCTGCTCTGCTCTACTCCGTTTGTTCTGTTGTAGTTCTGTCTGGAATTCATCTGGGTCTGTCTGTTATATTTTTTGTTTGTTTTTAGATATGGGTCTGCAAGTAGCTGTAATCCTGCGTGGTGAGCGACCATGTGTATTGCAGCATTGTACTGTTTTCTTGCAGGATTGATTGCATGTCCAGGGGTTTCCAATGATCTTAATTGAAGCCTAACGAACCTCAAGTAACTGACTGCAGCTCTGCTCTGCTCTACTCTGTTTTGTTCTGTCTGGAATTCATCTGGGTCTGTCTGTTCCATTTTGTATTGTTTGGTGCGTGGATTTAGGTGGGAGGGGTTGGCCATGGTACCTTGTACTGCGTGTCCACATGGAGTGCGGTTTAATATTTCAGATTTTTCACGAGTGTGTGTCATGGGTATTGAGTGTGGGGTAGTAATCTGAGGGTCTTTGCTGGCCACCTCCCTCTTTATTTTCTCTTATTATATTGTACTTGTTTTGTAAGTTACTGGTAAAAACATGTCATGTATTGAGACCTTGTGTGAAGTGTTGTATGTGTTTTTATTAATTGTATGTTAATAAAGTGACTTGTTTATATCGGTCTGCTCACCCTGCCTTTGGCAACGAACCTGTGTCCCTTTGCTTAGGGCTGTTGTGTCCCGGTGTATTCCGGGTGGCGTAGTCGACTATAGGATTTTTCTTATTATTGTTAATTTTCAAACTCCTGACCACTTACTGCCACACTAGAAAGCTATTATTATCAGAGGACACATGAGCATAACGGTTAGCAGACCAATGAATGAGAGGGCAGCGTTACCAGAGTTGCCCATTTACCACACCTTGTTACAGCACAGTAGGGCTATTGCAAACTGAAACAATACTGTACTACATAGATGTTTCCCGTCAGCTCGATTTTTTTTTTTGAGTGGACTTTGCTGTTCCGATGAGCATGAACGGTATATGAGTGGAGCACTCACATGGGCCGTGAGCGACTGAGCGGAGCACACACACGCATAGAGCGGATAATACGCAGAGCGTCACACCATGTGAAAGTGAAACCTGAACGGTGAACTAATTTTCGGCAGCCGGAATTTCAGTGCATCTCTAATTATTGGCGACATCAGAAATGGATATTATATAATAGCTGCTTTTTTGAACATTTTAGCAATTTAAAAATATTAAAAAAGGATTTTTTACACGGCACCCCTGCTCTCGACAGATGGCAGCCCGGTTGGGAAACACTGGTCTAATTTGGCACGGCTCCCTGCTGCAGTAATAGTAGTAAGCCATTCCTCTGTGTATACATCATAGGCGCGGGAAGTGGGGGTGCTGCAGCATTTTTTTTCCCCCCCGTTTTTTTTTCTGTGGGCAACTTTTTAACTGTTGGGAATAAAAAAAATCGCTGGCAAAGGCTATTACACTAACTCCATCCACCAACGTGTGATTGGGCCAGTCCTCCGATCGACCCGGGTTCGAATCTACCTTTTGGCGAACTTTTTTTCTCCCTTTTCAAATTACATCAGAAAAGCATTTTAAATTAAAATTTACACTCAATAAGTTATTATTGTATACTGTTTTATAATGTATTACAATGCTGAGGTGCAGATAATTGCCACTATTGGCAATAAGTAATTATTAGAATATCCTGCTATTTTAATATAGTATAAATAGCTATACTTAGTGCACTTATATATAATATACATATATTTTCACTTGGTATAAATAGCATCTAACGCTAAGAAAATATGCTCGCACAGCCTGCCTCTCTCATTCGGCATATGAAGTCTTTAGAGCCATAGGCTATAATATGTTGTTTTTAGATAAATTGCTCAGAGACCAACCAGTTGGACAGAGCCCAGCAAGCAATAGCCGTCATTTCAACGTCTCGGTTAAGTATAGACCTGATATAGTCCAGCTATGTGTAACCCACTTCTAGCCCAAATAACCTTGAATTTGGTTTCATGTAGTTTTTTGGCAAAATAACTTGTGAGATGTATGATATTCCATCATGTAAACAAAGTAACAGCGTTTACAAGGTGTTTGGTTTCATTTCTTTGACATGTTCAATACATACAGGCTATAGCCTGTGCGTAACCACGATTTAGCTCGTAAGTCAGAGCGGCTATCTGTAGCCCACTTATAGTCAAACCTGATTCACTGTAGTTTTTGGCCAGGCAGCGCATGAGATGGTTGATATCCCATCATGTTCGCAGTGTCAATAATATCTACAAAGATAT